ATGTCAATCAAGTGAACGCAAAAGACCTCCTCCACCTCTTTACCAGCTGGATGGAACCCAGATAGCCATGGCTGGGCAGCACTGATGTGGGAATGAATTGGCAAGGGGGAATAAAGGCTATAACTTATCCCCACGAATCTACTTTGAACTTGGTCTTATTTTTATGAATCTGCTTTTAAGCTAACATTCCCTACGACCAGCTATGGACACGCGTGATGACCAGCATACTCTCCTACCCTCAAATCCAGTTCCAAAACACGACTAAACACCGGATCCAGTAGAATTGAAAAGGCGGATCAGTGACGCTGCGGTCAAGTATCTTTACAGTTGTATGAAGCTTCGATGACTGGCACTGTGTACATAGGAATAATTTTTCCTAAGATATTTCGTCATGGAAGATACTTTTTATAAAACTGCTGAGCTGTGGAGAATTACTAATGAAGGACTTTTACCAATCCTCTCCCTGTCGTTTGTCAATGCTTGAACTCCGCGACAGCTCCTCACTCGTGCCACTGCGCTTTAACTTCTTCCACACCTTTTAAAGGAGATTGAAAAAGTAAAACCTAGTCCCTCTCTACTTCAACAAACCTGCTTCAAGTATACACGGGTGGTGAATACAAGCATAATTGTCCTTTGAGTGGCAGCACATCCCTAAGGTAAACATTGAAGGGACTATCTCATGCAGTGGGCAAACAAGTAAGCCTCCCCCTCTCGTCCCCCTCCTCTCTGCATTCTTGTCACATCAATACTCTGACACTGCCCACTTTTCCCCTTCTAATTATTCTTCTCTCTTTGTCCAATTGCCCCTGTCTCCAGAACCGCAGAGAAATAAATCGTGCAAGCCTGCTGCTTGTTCTTCATAAATTATGTCCCCACAGCCCCTAATAGTTCTTCCACCTTGAAATGAATTTTTTTCATCTTTTCTATTTATAGAAGGCCTAACTACCTTCACGAACTAGAAGTTTTTCAACCATGATTTCGTTTTACTTGAACTTAGCTTTACTACATAGATATTACTGGAGGAAAAGTTAAAACTAACAGTAAAAAGGAAACTCTCAGGGTTTGTCAGCATTCTTGACACCTGAAATAAATACTTTAAAAGCGACTACCTCTAGAGGTAATTACTGCTTGTGGTAAACTGATTTTGACGACTGCAGCGTTTGAATCCTCTCTGAAGACATGACAAGATGTGGGATTTGTTGGAAAGCTGTTGGAGATTGAAACCGTGGAGGTTGTTGATGTGATAATCAGTTCATCCCAACCCTTTTAACAGCCCACCAATCCTTCTTTACACTTAAAACCTTATTTATCTCTTATGCTTTGTGATGGATGCTTAAGTAGAGGTGTGTCGGAAATCTTTTGGCCTCCTGATTGTAAAGTGTCATCCCGGAACACCCACCTTACAGTGTCTGAAGGTACGACTCAGGCGTTACTGATTGAGGAATGTTGCGTGACACCGTAATAATAATGAGGACTTTATTCAAGATATTTTATTTGGGTTTTTTATAGTTCCTCTATTGTCAAAAATAAGGCTTTGAACATTTTATTCGGTGGACTTACAGGTAAGTCACGCTTAAAACGACTTAGTGGATACGAGCGCCGGTGGAAACAGTCGCAGAGTAGGAGTTCTGAAGTTGAGGGATCGGGTACAGCGCACCCCTATTTGTGTACCTAATGAAATGCGATCCGCAGGAGCTGTGGGCAGCTCTACGGTTTCTATAGATCACGACGTAGACAAGGCAACTGGGGATGCAGTCAAATATCTTGCTTGTGAAATGGTATGAATTGTGTCAGCTCTGAACAAAGAAGGAAGTACTATTTGAGAGGGTCTTAAGTCAGGATTGGGGGAATTAAGATGTCCTTGGAAGATTCTGGCAGGGAGAGCCGCAATTGCTTCTTTTAATAATGGAGGCACTTACCGAAATCGTCTTAAATGTACCGAAGTAAAGCTACTGTTTAGAGGTGATAGCAGTAAATGTCCCCTAATGTATCAATGTGTTCTAGCACAGGAGGACGTTTGCCCACTCAAGGCGCTCTAAGAGGTTCTCCTGGATTAGGTAATCAAAAGATGCATTGCATCTCCCTTGCTCATTCCGTATCATAGCAGTAAGTTTTTCTCTAAAAATCACCTTAATTGAATGAAGATCCCTTATTTAAAAAGGTCGTTGGGGATACAAGAATAAAGAATAAAACCTCGTGTTATGTCTTTTTGAATCCCACCCTGTTTTCAATTTGGTAGGGGAAAATGATCGTACACGTACCTGCTGGAGCTGTAAATGCAAGCCTGACGGGACGCTGTGCAGATGGCGCTGCATCCTCTCCCAAACCACCACTTCGCCTGCATATTTAATGGGTAACTTGTGCGACTCACGACATACCCTCACTATCTCGCGCCCTGGCACTCTCCCTCTATCTCACCCATTACTTATTTACTAAGTCTCCTCCGTTGTTCCAAATCCGAGGCATCTTGTCTGCATGCCTCAACAGATTTTTTATCTCATAAGAGCAGAATGCTGGGACGATCAAAAGTAATGAGTATAGTCTATAAATTTTATTTTTGAGCAGATCAAGCGGCATCAATTCTACTCGACTGTTTTGTCAGCCTTACCTTCTCAATAGCTTGGCCTAATTTGTAGATTGGTGAGTGCTTTTTGGTAAAAAGGATTTTTACTTTATTTAAGTTCTTACCTCAATCATCATTGCAGACACCTTCTGACCATTCCGTGGGTCAACAATTCCTGCTTCAAATGTAACACTGCGAATCGTCGAGATGAACGGGAAGACTACAGGCATAGTGAATGTACATTCGGCCGAGGCGGTGGTGAATCTCGTGAAGTCTGTTTCATAGGCCCCATCTTTTTTAAGTGTTGTCTTAGTCACTACTTCAGAAGTAGTGAGATTTCAGACTGAGAGCTAGAGTTGGCTACATCTTAAAGGCTTAATTTTGCGAACATCAGAAATTACGATAATTTTTTTATCTGGTCATGCTCGGCGTTTTCTTCTCTTCCTTGATCACGAGCACCCTCTGACTGCTCAATGTATCATCAGTTATTCTTCAACAAAATTTTTGCACCGGTAATCACAACATCCTCTCTTTCAGAAAGATCCCTTTCCCTTCAAAGGACAATTCTGCTTAAAGCATTAATGAATATAGTGTGCGAAACAAGCTCTCTCCCTCTGAGCTTGATAATTGTTTCCTTCCATTTACCACTGGTACTTCTTAAAAGTGCACAAGATGCAGTCTAATAATAGCATTACTTATATTTATGATCCACAATGGCAGTATTTTTATTGTTCATCATGCTAGCTTATTCTTTATTTTATTACACTCCTTCTTTTCCGCAGATCCATGCCCGCCTGGAAGGAAGTGACCTTCTTGTTTTAAGGGAAGTGAGCTTCTCATCCAAGTACGTGAATTTTCCCCCTCGAAGGCCTTCATGTTTGCCCCCAAATTACTCAAAATTTCAATAATATATGTTATTCTAATTGGTCTGGTAACTACTTCTATTTCTAATAATTTTACCCTCTTTCTCGAAAGGCTCTCCTGTCCCACGTTTATCCTCAGGGAGTGGGACTTATTTTATGTAACAGATATCTGTGTTCTAATTCCTCCATTTTTATCGTTGCCAACCAACTAAGTGAAAGCGAGGGGCAAAAGCATCAGTTTGCGCCTTTACTGTCAAGCTGAAACACCTACGATGCACTCGATCACACTTTTTACCCTTATACGTTTCGCTGGTAGGCATGGTTTGAGATGCTCCTTCATTCATCTCACCTGACACATCCCCCCTCTTTTAGCTTAAAATGAATTCCCGTTTTAGCGTTCACTAATTTTAGTGATCTCCAGGTTTCCTGAAAATGTCAATCATTCTGATTATTAGGATTAGAGGCTGAAAACATCAGAAAGGTTCCGTAGCAGAGAAACAGGAACCTTGTTTATAAAGGCAGGTTGGCAGCATGGCAATGTTTTGAAAATGAACTCCTTAGGTACCTTTGCGTTATCAAGGCACACCAATAATCACTACTTAGACTCAGTGGAATTGAGAAGAACCTCAGCCATCTTTATTTGTTTGGCAGGTGGTGGCAAATGGTTCATAGCTTGCGTCAAGTACTTTTCATTTTTACAACTCAATCATGACATTGGAATAGTAGCGATTTTACTCAGAAGTCTATTTAATATCTGACTGGTCAGTATTTGGTGCCGCTTTCCCTTTGATGTCTTTCTAGTATAGGTTTTTGAACCCCACTCGAATATAAGTGGAAAGGTTTGATTTCTTGATGCAATAGTTCATTTGAACAGTTGATGTATAAATGAGCTGATGTGCTTCTGAAAGTACCCTATCAATTGTCTAGAAAGCTGCATTTCACATTGTAAGGCCCCTTGCTCTCCCCACATAGTTAGTATCCCTACCAACAACGCTGTGAAGTCTCTAGGCCTTTCATTTCGGTGGTTTGGGTAGCTTCAGAGCATTTCGCGTGCTTTATCCGCGTAGTCTCACCCTTCTTCATATAAATGGCAGCTTAATTACGTGCTTGTAATGCTTTCTTCGCGGTTCTTCATTTACACGCATTAAAGGGTGCCTCTGCTTGTATTAAACCGTCTATCAACAACTAAGCAAAGCCTGGGAATTGTAGATGCTTGCTTATTTGACGGGAAAATTAAGCAAAAAGAGCTAAATAGATCGCTTTGTGGCATCTTTAAGCCCCCATTCCACTTTAACTCAACAGTTGTGAGAAGTTCAAAGGTCTGAGGGCGGAAAAGTCTAATTTGCCTGATGGACACGAAGTGCTTTCCCCTTAATCACAGATACTATACCACCCACATACACTGCAGCGATCTCGTGGGAGTCTTTGCTCAAAGCCACCTACTTAGCTTTAAAATGAGGTTGTTTTACTGTAATTACGAGATAAATATCTTAGAAAATTGAACGAGACAGATAAGGCAACACACATGTGATCTCCCTGTAGAATGGTCAGAAAGAGATAAATCCTTTATTAGTCGGTTCTTCGGTCCTCTACAGTCTTTTTTGCTAATCTCCGCATTAACTAATCCCCTTAGAATTATATCTCCGTGCCAATTGGACAAACAGAAAAAAAAGGAAGAGTTCCGTTAATTTACATAATTTTACAAAACTAGTTCTTCTCCTAAAGGAGTTCTTTAAGGAACAAATCTTTTTGGTGCCTCAAAAATATGTAAGAAGAGGAAATCTTGAAGCTTTTCCTTTACATAAGAAAGAGTCCAGCAGGCGCGTCACGTATATGTGACACCCATATTTTATCTGGTCATAAGTGTATCAAATATTCTCACAATTTAGAAAACAGAAAGGTTTAAAGTCATAGCATGGAGTACATTGTTGAAATGATAATAAAAGCATTTTTTATAGTTCATCTTTCTTTTAGTAAATATTCTTGGTGCCCAAACAAACGTAACCTTACCTTGAGTTTGGGTTTGGGCCTTACTCTATCAAGTGACCACGATGGACAAAAAGTCTTACTTTCCTTTACATATTCATGAGAGGACTATTTATCTGAATTATTTATCAATGATAGTGTATTTAGCCGAGTTAACCCATTGACTGTCACAATTTTCCCTTCAAATGGAGGCTTGTCGTTGCTGGTCCGAAGTCATCGTCCGAAAAGCAACCCGGGTGCCTAGCGGGTGAAGAATAATGACCTCTTTGTATCTATTAAGAGGTCGCGGAGTCCTAATGAATAAAGGTTTAAGAAGATGTCTTTCATAAATTACACCATAGAACGTAGAACTTTTCAAATACCGTGTTTCTCAGTTCAATGTTTGAAGCAGGTAGGAGTTGAGGAAAGGAAACAATCCGTAACAAAACAAGTTTACAGTGATTTAATGGCTTCACAGAGAATTGTGACTACTAATAATGGGAGAAGACGGTGGTTTCCATGCACTAAAGGCTAAAATTCTAGAGTTTTCGACCCTTTTTGCTTCTCCCAATTTGACCAGATTTATGATTTGAAGTGGTTTCCATTCCCTGGACCTTTAACCAGCCATAAAATTGGCCCGACGAACGCACCAGCTACCGTTATTTTGATACGGATCACTCAAGGCTTCACTGTCCGTTTCCTGAAGTGATCAATCATCACTGTAAACATATTTGAGCACGAAAAACCCACGAATTTGTTAGGGGTAAGATATTTACAGATGTATTAAGAGTTCTACGTTTTTGCTGCGGCAAAAGTGTCATCTTTGATCGTCTATTTATATTTTTGCACAATTTTGACGAGCAATTCAGGGTTTTTCACTTCTAAGAGCTTATGCAACAGCTGGAGTTGGGATCCTTTGATATTTTTTAATCAGCTTGTTCAGATAGAGCACGGATGCTGTGCAAAGAAAACTACTGAGAGTAGACTTAGCAGCTACTGGAATTAACCATCGTTCATTACTATTTCAGCAGCATGGTTTTAGGGGTCATCTTGTCCTGGTGTTGTTTTAATTCGCTGGATTTTGAGCCTAAAATGTTGGTTACATAATTAGTGACACTTGGAACTGTTTGAGCACTGTCATCTTTTTTTAGGCAAGGAAAAAGCGTTTAAGTAAAGGCAAGTTTTTAAGCACTAAAATTGAGCTATAAGAGTACATAGTAAGGGAAGAATTTTCTAGCGAAAACGGAAGAACTAATTTTTTCGCAGGTGGGTTGTTAAATGGATAATAGGATGATCCACAAAACAGGCATTACTTGCCTTTTTGGCTTCATCGGGATTCGAGGAATTGCGATGTTATTCTACTAAATGAACTTTTCGAGGTTTGTCAGTCGATTCTGAACTCTTCGTAAGCCGTGCCAATATGCCGGAAGGTTTATTAATCAGGTCAGAAAGGTGGGGAGGCTACAGGCAAGCTGGAAGTACACACCTCGGGAAAGGAAGGGCCCACCCAGTTAATAGCAAATAAATGTTGATACCAAATCACTGCACACACGACTAACAGAGACCTTCCATAAATTTGACCTACCCACTTAAAAACTGGATTGGTAAATTAAAGGCTTTAAGGAATGATCCCCAAAATGTTGTACCTTCCACCCAATGGACTGTTCATCTGCATAAGTCCAACTTAATCGGCCAATGAAACGTACCAAATGATCAAAGAGAATCAAAAATTATTCTTGCCACCAGATCTCAAGTAATTTGCCCAATCCGACTACTAATGATAGTTCCATAAAAGGACTCATCTTCTTATGTTATTGTTCGATAGAGAGGCCATATTACTTTTTGAGTGACACATTATTTGAGGCCCATTATGTGCTAAACCTCTCAAGTAGCTAAATATATTTGTGTGGAAATGAAAAACTGAAGATGTTCTTTTAAAGCGCCTTTTTTTTCTGCAACTCCTCACAAGCGGGCTAATGCCTGCAAATTCTATTTCTAGTTCAAAACACATTGTTTTTCTACCTTATATGTGATTGTCAAATGCGTATGCCAAAAAGAAATGCTGAGGCCGAGGACAAAGGCGTGGACAACATGAGGAACTACCTTTTTCGCTGTCCCACGCGAAAGTTTAAGTTTGCTCTAGGCGAGGTTTCACGGTAGGCGCTATGGGATCCCTTGTTGTCGACTAAGAATGCTGGACTAGCCACTGGGCTAGGTCACCAGTAGAGGTTGTTTCCAAAAGAGAGGAGAAGGAGGAGGAGAGGGAAAAACAGGAGTTTTCTTACCACACATTTGAGTTGTATTAAGTAAGTAGGTCTCAATAGAAGTTACTGACTGGGCCTCAGCAATTAAACAGTCGTGTTTGCATTCCCCTACACTAAAATGCACGCTGTTTTGCTTGACGTTGGAGTATGAGTCCTAGACAGGCTTTTACCATCACAAGTCTGTCATTCGGCATGTCGGTGAGTCAGCCAAGCGGCTAAAAATAGCGCATTTTTTATCAGATAGTTGGACAAAGTGACAATATTCGAAGTCGGATGTTGCTTGTCAACGCAGGTTGGGCTTTCTTATTGGCCTAGCAATCGCGACTTTTCCTGCTGATGTGGTTTCAATTGAGTTGTTCCATTACTCAGCCCGAACGCTACTGAAAGTTCCCTTGTCGAATTGGTTTAGCTATTGGGACGCAGAATTCGTGACCGTCAAAGGTAGGAGGTCCTCACAAAGGTGACTCATCTAACTTTGAGTGACTTTTAACACCCGAGTCCAACTTTTGAACTACTTCTACGCGGTTCGTTCTCCCGCTACATGCCACACAACAAATGTTGCAGGAAGTTTCTGTATCCTTCCACTAGAATTGGATCTAATCCCTTATCGAGTTACTCGTACTATTTTTTGCGTAAAGTTAGGAAATTGCAGATGGAGTGAAAAGGTGGATTTAAATTTTTCTTCTTTTTGTACAATTAACTTTAATGTAATGATAAGAAGACAACGATGCGCCCCTATAGTGATCCTTGAAGGAAAAACTGCACGTGTTTAGTGCACCGTTAAATGGCTCTTCAATAAATGGCGCAACAACAAGAATCTTTACCTTTTGGAATATTTTACTGAAGTATGGAATAATGGTAGGTGCTTATAATGTCTATGACTGCGTGAGATGCTCAAACCACGTCGAGTTCGGTCACCGTCTTACTGCCATTGTCCCTCTCCCACACCGATGACCGTTCGACCCTGATGACGGCTGATAGTAACCTTCTCTCATACTGGTGCTATTTAAGTCGCTTTTAGGAATGATTCCAGACGGAAAAGTGGTCAAAGTGTTAGAATGTTTGCAAAGTAATTCATTTTCCAACTTTTTAGTTTCCCTAATGACCGAAAGGATTGCGTTCAGTTTCGTTTAACTTGTCAACTATCTCCTTTTCAATTTTACACATTCGCAACTTTCTGCTTCCTCATTTACACTACTTATGCTCTTAAGCTCTCACCTTGCCATTTCATCCGGAAGTTTTTCGATTTCATTTGGAGATTTGTTTATAGAACTCAAAAAATGCAAGCACAAATGTAATCAAAACCCCACCACCACATCGAGAGCATGATTTTAGCAATTACATTGTAGTGATACCATCTAAATTAGTAGGACTTTGAATTTAAAAAGTCCTTTACAAATTTTTTTACGAGCAGTTTGTGAAATAAATGCTTTATTAGCCAGTTCCTACCGTCTGTTAAGAAGCGAACCTCGAACTTGACCTGTTTTGCATGCCTCGTGGTCAGCAACAAATGATTTGTTAATTTTGTTGAAAAAATTTCGGACTTGTCTAACCGCCATACAAAAGATTGTAAAGTTTTTTTTTTCAGCCCGAATTTCCTCCCCGATGTGAACACCCTCTAATTGGTTTGAGTACTACCAAACTTAGCTTCTGTAAGGAGTGAGGTTAGTCGTTTTATATCCTAAAGTAATCACCACCGAGGATTGCCAGTAAGCGTGTAAATCCGAACCTTTACAAATGTCTGTTGCGCAATTAACCGTTGTGCATTTAATACACAGACTGTTCCACAACCCATGAGAACACGCCAAAATTCTACAAGGTCCAAATACGTGTGTAATGCTTTAACTGTTTGTTTAACTTTTTGTCTTGGTAATGCGGGCACTAGGGAGCGCGGTCATTTTACGTTTCCCCCTGGAGGTCATACATATATTCCCTCAGCCCATCTAGAATTCTTGTAGCGCTGCATTAGTGACAGTGGAAAGCGGACCCGATCCTAAAGACAACCACCATGATTCCCACTACTAAATGCTAAGCTCTAACGTAACGGAAGAAGAGCACACGCTACTGATAGGAGAATTTGGGACAACTCTCTAGCAAATGGATTGAAAATGAGGCCTCCCTTCGGCAATCGGTCCAGTCTCAGGCGTTGCAGAAATACTATTAACATCTGTAGCGACACTTGGCGTGAACCATCTGGAAGAGTTAGTTATGGAGCTGTTGACATTACCTATCTGAAGATGTCAAGAGAATGAACATGCGATACCTCCTTTACCTCTTCGTCAGCCGGATCGAGCCCAGATAGATTTGGCTGGGTAGTACTGAAATGAGAACAAAGTGGTAAGAGGAAATAAGCTCGAATTCCTGTCCCCATGAAACTTTTTAAATCCTGTATCTTATTAAACAAGACTGCTTTTAGGCTAGTGTTCCTACGACTACCGATGAACATGCGTAACAGCTTGCACATTCCTCCTTTCCCTAACACAAAACCTACCAGGATGAAACCCCAGATCCCGTAAAATTGATAAGAGAGACCAGTGGCATAATGACTTAACTTTAACACTGTTGCTGGTAGAAGTGTTGACTGGCGCGGTTGGTTTGCGGATGCTTTTCCAACAGCACCGATTACATTGTGATGACCGACGCGGGCAAATGACGAAGGTAAGCGCCTGAAACAACGCTCAAAAGAGAGGTAAAAGTGTAATACTTTAACAATTCGTTCAGTTTGTCGTTTTGGTTACACGGGCACTAAAGGGCACACTCAGTGTAATACCGCTCGGCGACATAACCTCTGGGCTATGTCAGTTGCCCTTTAGCCATTCTGTACATCGGCAATGCATATTCTGCCCTAATGGCATGAACTCTTTCATTTATAGGAATGACTAAGGGTTCCACAAAGAGGTGTCACTAGTTCAAAAGTAATAAAATGTGAGAATTTACCAATTTTGTTTAAATACAATACAGTGCCCCGAGTTATCCTTGAAGACGAGACAAAGGATACCAGTTTATGGATGTTTTATTATAAGCGCACAGTAAAACAAGTCGGCTGAATGCGCAAAGGAGAGGCCACGACACTGATGCCGTAACGGGATTAAGGAGAAAAAAAGGGTCCTAAAGCCAAATAACATCTAAATGGCCTTCTCTTTGGAGTATCATCTCTGGTGGTATCTTTATTTGCCCCTTCCCACTTCCCTCCACCCCGTTCAGTGGAGGCAATTATTCCACTGATTTTCAGACAAGTGGGGAAATGGAGCGAAGATGATGCGATGAATTCGTTATAGAGGGTGAAATCACTTCTGTGAATTAGCTGGAGATCGTGATGCGGAATTCTTCGGAGCTTTTGATTTGCGACTCATTTTAGGTGCTATTGCCAGAGGCCGATTAATGTTCCACTGTGGACATATTCCGTGTACCATTCACTTCCCTTTGGAACAATTAACTAAAACGGTATAAGGTCTTGAGACGATGATTTGAATTAATATCTTTATCCAAAATAGCAAACAGTTCCTTAAGAGCTACCTGGCATCATTTCTTCATTAACCATCTTGTTGAACTGAAGCCGGAAGTCAAAGCGATTTTAAAAGTTATTTTCTTGTGAGTCTATGTGGACACCTTCCTTCGATGGAGCACAATCGGAGCATTCAGTCAACGAAAAATCCACGGTTTTAAGTTATTTGGGTATGCTCACTTTTCGCTTTCGCTAATGTGGATTCAAACTACGGATGAAATGCCATGAAATAAAACTTGCAACGAAACCGCAACAATGTGATTTCTAGATAGCTTCAGATTTTCAAGAAAAGTCACGGAGAATAAATGTAAAATGGTGGGAGGGAGACATCTGTTTTGCAAAGCCATGATTCATGAGCAAAAAAATGTTTGTTCTAGCCCCATTAGCTGGATGGAGAAGTGTGATAAATGGATGAATAAATGAATGAGTGAGTAAATGAGTACGAGTCAAATACTTCCACGGGAATTACTGCTTTTTCAACCGTTTATCAGTGACCCATTTTCATATTTTAATAAAACTTTGATAGAATTAAAAAAAAAAAAACATTTCCGAATCGGGGGATATTTGCCCATAAAACGAATTGTTTTGCTATCCCTCTCAAAGACTGTTTGCATTTTAACCGCCTCTAAATGGAATCGGAAGCAGACGACGCTTGTCTGTGGAATCAGTGACGAGTCTTTAAAAGCTAACTCACTTTACCTATCATTGTATTTTGAAGAGGCTGATTTCATACAGGTAACGTACCAAATTTACTTATGCTACCACTGCAAATATGAAATTGATAATATTTTGTAGAAATCTTCAATGGTAGTTTTCGTCAGTATTCGAGACAATAACTACAAGGCCCTAAATTTGGAAAGACAAGGGAACTGTTAACTAAATAAAAAACAGATTTTGGTGCATTTACAACGTATTTGACTAAAAGCACCCCTTATTGAAAGGCGTTTTGGTCATTCATATTGCGTTCCAGCGAGGCAGTAATAACTTTACTACTATATTATTTAAAGTAAAAGTTACTCAAACAAATCGATAATTAAGGGAATATGGGGCTTGTGCTGCCAAACTAACGCGGTGCTTTTTTCTAGAGAGCATCTTCCGTATCTCAAATTACAGTATAGTCTTGTAAAGTAATCACGAATTGATAAGTATGACATTTGCTATTCACTCATTTCTTCCACTAGGAAAGCAGTCTGAAGTCAATGGCTCCCATGACCAAACCATTATTTAGCCCAGCTAAGGACTGCAAACGTTATAACAAATTCGGTCAACCCAATGCGATTGTTTTTTAGTTAGTTACCGAATCGCTATACACACATGTGATGCAAAACGAGGATTTGCAGTCGCGCTTCATTTGGGTTTGGACTGGATTATTATTTTTAGGGAAATATGAACTAAACATTGCAATATTCTGCCGTCTATAAAAAAGATTTTTTTTGCTGGAAAACTTTGAAATCTACATATTATTTCCTATCCAAAACTCCTCCTCAATTTGTCAACAAAAAGATATTTTCGGTCTCTCAAACCGGCCAAAATTTGATAGTTAGTTTGGAAGACACCCATTCTCGCGTTAAATTTAATATGCAGGACAATATGCATAACTTTCTGAGACTCTACTAAGGTCGTAATGGGACATATCGACTTAAAAATGGTTTGCCATTAGTGTACAAAAGGGATGGGAAGTCATATACAAGTGGAAGTACAACACATGAGGTGTAACGTTCACCCAGACAAATGCTAAATTGCTGTACATGTATCCGAAACTCGATTGCAGTTACAAAGTGCTGATCACATCAGTGGTACTTCCAGTCAAAGATTTACTTAAGGTCTCTTGGATGTCATGAAGCCTTTGCAGCTAATTCTTGCACTGCAGAATTACCAGAGAAATGTACTGAATTTGCTTAAGATATTCTATTTTATGCAGATGGAGCAATCTTATCAGAAAAAATCTCGCACACCTTATAACTACTTGGACCTGGTGGTTGAGTGTACTAACCTACGAATATTTTCCTATTGATCGTAGTCCACTAAAAATCACGAATACTATTAATTAATGCATGATTTATCAGATTAAATACTGCACCGTTAAAAACACACTGCAATCAAAATGCCCAGGTGCCTGCAAGGTCACTGCTATTTAAAACAGTTTTTTGCAACACGTCTGTATCATACTAAAATGTCACCTTTAGAGTTTTAACCTCGAATACATTAAGCATATTTTATCTTAAGATTTATGGAAATGTGTATTAAATGGGCTGATTGGATTACTTTTAATCTATTTAAATCAGATTCTTCCCTGTTTTCATTTTTTGTGAAGTGGCAAGTTCTGCGATTTCTCATACGTTTTAACTGTACTAATGTGCCGCTATCGGCGCTCTGCATCAACAATTAAGTGATCCCTTAGGGAAAAATGTGTTTTTTAAGCGAAATATTCTTTGCGTACTCTCAGGTACCGCTGATAAGCTGATGACATGGCCTAAAAATACCATGGCGCCATGATATATCAAACTAATGATAACTTTTTAGTCAAGCGCGGTGTTCTTTCAAGGTAATGATAAGCGATTGCAGAGCTTATGAAATGGACCGAATATCGCCGTACTAAGGAAGGTTACTGGACCACTTGCTTGGTTTTGACTGGATCGAAAGGGAGGTATATTGAATGTCGAATGTGAAATAACACCCAGCTATTTATGGGCCCCGAGCTTGTGTGATGGAGACTTGATTTATACTGTTGCATTCTGCCTCGGTCACAGCTGGCACAGCGGCTAACTTGTTGGAGGACTTGCCTCACGCTGTAACCGAATCAGCTTCTGATAATTTTTGTAAAGTATTAATTGTTCCATTTGACCTTTTCGCTGTCATGCAATATAAAAATCACGCTGTTTAATGTTTTGTCAATTTGTGAAATCTCCGAAAAAGGCGATGGCAGTACATTTCATTTTCTTTATTTCGTT